TATGTCTCTTACCTCATTTAATCTACAGGATCCCTTCTTTTTTTCCCCTGACAGTTACTTTGTTGAATAAACAAGATCATAGTTCCAGATTTTTCTGATTTCATCCCCATCGTGTCACCTAAAATATTCCTCTTTTTATGTATTTCTTGTAATCCAATATTCTAAAGACTTTATCTGATTCAGGTTCTGTATTTTCACAAAAATATTTAATAGGCAGTGTTGTTTATATCCATCCAGAAGCACATAGATCTGGTGGTCCCTCCTTTTTTTAGCTGAGAGTGACCACTGCTGGTCGTTGCCAACATGCATTATTTAATTGTGGGCTTGCAAACCAGTCATATCCTAATTCTTGTATTTCTCCCTTTTATCAACTGGTATATTTCCATAAGAGAGAAACTTTTCACCAGCTATTTAGTTACACCAAAATACTGTTTGTACAGGAGAGTACCCAGCTCTTTAAAAAAATTAATAAAATTAATTTCAGATTGTAATTCCTTTTAATTTCATTTTAGATCTCTTGTACTTTTGTTACAAACATTCCTAAGATACAGAATTGTTTCTTTTCAAAGGAATCTGGAAATTCAATTATTTCTGGCATCAAGTTGTAAGCCAGACAATTTTTTAAAAAATGTAATAAGTAAAAAGGTTTGACATGTGTGCTGTTATGCAGTTCAGCATTTAATCGCTTACTCCAATTTCCACTGTTTTTTTTTGTAGTCAGAGCGGTATCAGAAGATTAGGATACACATATTCACTTAGTGATCCTATTCCCAATCAGACAGAGTACAATGATGAGTATGTTTGGAAACCACATTCTAAAGAAGATTTGACCAAAATTGGGACTTCAGGAGGAGTCAGGAGCCACAAATTTCACCCCAATCAAGTAAGATAATAGCTACTTATCTGTTGAATTTAATACTGTATCAATAATCCATAGGAGGGCCGGCCCGGTGGCGCACTGGAGAGTGCGCTGCTTGGGAGTGTGGCGGCGCTCCCGCCGAGGGTTCAGATCCCATGTGGAGACCAGTTCCCGCTCACTGGCTGAGTGCGGTGCGGGTGCAACACCGAGGGTTGCGATCCCGTTGCCGGTCAGTAAAAAAGACAAAAAGGAAAAAAAAATAATAATAATAATCCATAGGAATAAGAGTTTGAATATGTTGCAAAGACCCTTCGTCTTCTACAGTCATGGGATATGTGGTCCTTCTCAGACTATTTTCTGCCTACCTTTTCACATTTATTTCAACTACTTCTCCTCTACACTGCAGGTTTTTTTCTGAAGACTTTTTAAAATTGAAGTGAAATTTGCATAATATGAAAGTAACCATTTTAATCTGAACAATTCACTAACATTAAGTGCATTCATGTTGTTGTGCAATGATCATCTCTATCTTGTTAAAAAACATTTTCATCATCCTGGAAGGAAACCCAATGCCTGTTAAGCAGTTACTCACCACTCCCCTGATGCCTCACCCCTGGCAACCACTAATCTGCTTTCTATCTCTGTGGATTACCTCTTCTGGATATTTTATTTGTGGAATCATATAAAAGGTAACCTTTTGTGTCTGGCTTCTTTCACATAGCATAATGTTTTTCAGGTTCATCTGTGTTGTAGCAAGGGTCAATACTTTGTCCTTTTCATGGTTGAATAGTATTCTTTTGCATAGATATACCACAATTTGTTTATCCATGTATCTGAAGATGGACATTTGGGTTGTTTCCACCTGTTGTGTATTGTGAACAGGCACGTACAAGTATTTGTGAGTGTTATTATGTTTTGTGCACTCTCCAGCTTCCATGCCTTTTATCACTCTGTTTCCTCTTTCTAGAATGCCCTTCTCCCATCCACCAAGGGAACCTCTGTATTTCTTTAAGGCTCAGCTTCAAGAGAGCTATCTCTAATTCCCTTTTCCCCTGGATGGAAGTAACTAATCTTCCCTCTGTGCTTACTTGGCATTTTAAACTCTTCTCCCTTCATAAAAGTCAATGCTCAGTTGTAGTAAAAAGTTTTATTTATTTGACTGCCTCCTGGGATGGAGCTACTTGAATGCATTCAGTAGAAGATAAGGTGGTAGAATGGACAAGATTTGATGACTAAAAGGATGTGAAAGGTAAAGAAGAGGGAAGGATGATTTTCATATTTCTGACTTGGACAGCTGGATGTGGGCCAATGTTGCTTACTGAGCTGGAACATGGTGGAGGACCAGGTTTGGTGGGGAAGGACATAGGACAAAGTTGATTGAGGATATGTCCAACAGACAGTTGAGTATCCGGATCTAGAGGTCACGTGAGGGAGATGAGCTGGAGATGGAGACTTTGGAGTCATTAGATTGTACACATATAACCCATTTAACTTGGTTTCTCATGGCACCCATTCATTATAATCTATTTATCTCTGAAATATTTTCCTTAAAATTTTAAACCTAATATAAAAGAGTTGATCACAATATTATACTGTATATATGCACATACATAACACAGCATATAATTTTCCCTTCCAGGATTGAAGGTTCTCAGCCAGTGAGAGCTAGTGTGGCAGACTGCCCTGTGTGTGCTCAGCCAATGAGTGTTTGCACACCGGACTGCAGATCCTGTTAATCCAGGCACTGAGCAGCAACAGCTGTTAACATCCCTTAAAGAGAAACAATGATCTGTTATCTGCCTCCTACCGTCTAAACCAAAGACCACTTATAGTCTAGTTGAGGGATTCGAATCTGAGTCTGAGTCTCTGGTAATTTGCAGGAAATTTGGGGGACAGAAATTTCTTAAACAGCACTTACGTATGCAATCATACTTTGTGCTATGGGATACTTACAGTGCTGCGGGAACCCCTACACATCAAAGGCTTCCTCAACAGATAAAAATTATATTGGCAATTGATTTCTTTAGTAGATAAAATTATCAGGGAAAGGGATCAATTATAAGGGCAGATAAATTATAGGGGAAGAGGATCGAGAGTGAAACTAAAGATTAAAAGAGACTTAAAAGACAAATTTGGGGCAGTGAGTATATAAACCTATTTTGAGAAATTTCAGTGTAAAGGGGAACTGAGAAATATCTTAGTAACTGGAGGGGGAAAAGGAGTGAAGAGGGTTTTCTTTTTGAGATAAAAATAAAGGCTTGCTTGGATACTGATGGCAACGACCCAGCAGAGAGGGAGAGATTGCAGTTGCAATAGAGAAGTGAGATTTGTTGGAGTGATGTGCTGGAGTAGACTCCATGGAAAGGGACCTAGTGCCCCAGTGGAGCTGGCCCTGCTGGGAGCAGCTGCAGCTCCTCTGTCTCCTCACAGCATCTGTGGGTGCAGGTGCAGAGGCTGGGATGGCTGCAGGAGCTGTGGAGTTTCTCTGCTGATGGATTCCATTTTCTCAGGGAAATAGAAAGCAAGGTCATGAGAGGGGGGGAGGTGGAAAGAGCAGATGGAGGTTTCAAGTTTTATAACATAAAATCTCTTTGAAGGTGAAGAGGAGAATGTGTCTGCTCTGCCCTATCCCTCAGGACATTGCTGCAGCTTCTGCAGCAAGGCATGGTTTCTCTCTGCGGCTCCCAAGGGGAAAGTTGCCAGGGTCTCTGCTCCTTGGGACTGTGTGGCCAGAGCTAGACTGAATGTGGGTTTTCTCCTCCTCTGATCTTATCTATTGATTTCTGGTTGGAAGCACAACTCTTTGGAGGTTGCCGTCATCAATGTGAAGAGTCAAAGAAATGTGCAAAGGACCTGTGTTACAGCTGGGTACCAATGGCTCCTATTGGCAGGCTCCCTGCACACAGGCAACTGGACTGTGGTGGTGGCTGGGTGCAAAGGACTCAAAAGAATATGCACACACGGGGCCGGCCCGGTGGCGCACTGCTACAGTGCGCCGCTTGGGAGTGCGGCAGGGCTCCCGCCGAGGGTTCGGATCCCACATANTAGGACAAAGTTGATTGAGGATATGTCCAACAGACAGTTGAGTATCCGGATCTAGAGGTCATGTGAGGGAGATGAGCTGGAGATGGAGACTTTGGAGTCATTAGATTGTACACATATAACCCATTTAACTTGGTTTCTCATGGCACTCATTCATTATAATCTATCTCTGAAATATTTTCCTTAAAATTTTAAACCTAATATAAAAGAGTTGATCACAATATTATACTGTACATATGCACATACATACACACAGCATATAATTTTCCCTTCATATTTTTTGCCTTGCATTCTATTTTGCTGGATATTAAAATGCTACTAAAATTTCTTTCTCCTCTCTCCCTTTCTTTCCTTCTTTCCTCCCTCCATCTCCTCCCTTTCCTGACTTGATTTCTTTCTTCTTTCCTTTTTCCTTCCTTCCTGTCTTCTTCCTTTCTACCATGGCTTGGTATAAATTTATCCTTCCTTTTGCTTTTCTTTTCGTTTTAGTGTGCTTTTTGCAAATAAGATTTCTGAGATTTTATTTAATTCTTAGATTCTCTGATGTTTATTGGTTAATGTGAAATTTATCTTTACTGTAGTTACTGACCTATTAGAAATTCTTTGTCATTTTATTTCATAAATTTGATTTCTTGTACTTTTTTTATACAGATGTACATATGTTCTTTAGTTGCTTGCATTATTTTTCTGCTAAGATAAAAATTATATTTTCTATTGTCTCTGGTAATTTGCAGGAAATTTGGGGGACAGAAATTTCTTAAACAGCACTTACGTATGCAATCATACTTTGTGCTATGGGATACTTACAGTGCTGCGGGAACCCCTACACATCAAAGGCTTCCTCAACAGATAAAAATTATATTGGCAATTGATTTCTTTAGTAGATAAAATTATCAGGGAAAGGGATCAATTATAAGGGCAGATAAATTATAGGGGAAGAGGATCGAGAGTGAAACTAAAGATTAAAAGAGACTTAAAAGACAAATTTGGGGCAGTGAGTATATAAACCTATTTTGAGAAATTTCAGTGTAAAGGGGAACTGAGAAATATCTTAGTAACTGGAGGGGGAAAAGGAGTGAAGAGGGTTTTCTTTTTGAGATAAAAATAAAGGCTTGCTTGGATACTGATGGCAACGACCCAGCAGAGAGGGAGAGATTGCAGTTGCAATAGAGAAGTGAGATTTGTTGGAGTGATGTGCTGGAGTAGACTCCATGGAAAGGGACCTAGTGCCCCAGTGGAGCTGGCCCTGCTGGGAGCAGCTGCAGCTCCTCTGTCTCCTCACAGCATCTGTGGGTGCAGGTGCAGAGGCTGGGATGGCTGCAGGAGCTGTGGAGTTTCTCTGCTGATGGATTCCATTTTCTCAGGGAAATAGAAAGCAAGGTCATGAGAGGGGGGGAGGTGGAAAGAGCAGATGGAGGTTTCAAGTTTTATAACATAAAATCTCTTTGAAGGTGAAGAGGAGAATGTGTCTGCTCTGCCCTATCCCTCAGGACATTGCTGCAGCCTCTGCAGCAAGGCATGGTTTCTCTCTGCGGCTCCCAAGGGGAAAGTGGCCAGGGTCTCTGCTCCTTGGGAATGTGTGGCCAGAGCTAGACTTAATGTGGGTTTTCTCCTCCTCTGATCTTATCTATTGATTTCTGGTTGGAAGCACAACTCTTTGGAGGTTGCCGTCATCAATGTGAAGAGTCAAAGAAATGTGCAAAGGACCTGTGTTACAGCTGGGTACCAATGGCTCCTATTGGCAGGCTCCCTGCACACAGGCAACTGGACTGTGGTGGTGGCTGGGTGCAAAGGACTCAAAAGAATATGCACACACAGGGCCGGCCCGGTGGCGCACTGCTACAGTGCGCCGCTTGGGAGTGCGGCAGGACAGGCAACTGGACTGTGGTGGTGGCTGGGTGCAAAGGACTCAAAAGAATATGCACACACAGACCCCCACAGTCTTGATTGCATTAGGTGAATCCGGGGTTGTGATCCCGTTGCCAGTCCCGGTCCGGTACGGGCGCAACACTGAGGGTTGCGATCCGTTGCCGGACACGAAAAAAGACAAAAAGGAAAAAAAAAAAAAAAGAATATGCACACACAGACACCCACAGTCTTGATTGCATTAGGTGAATCCATGTGGATTTTCCTGAAAATTGTGTTTGCATTGATAGGACTCTTTTCGATGGACACTACCTCAAGGTCAATCAAAAGCAACACAGAGCTGCCTCCCTTGGAAAATTCCTGCCCCCATGGAAGAAGTCAAGAAGGCAATATCAAATCAGTTTATTTCCTGTACTAAGAGAGACTTTGTGGACATAACAAAAGGTAAACGTGTTTGGTTTTCCCCTTTCCCTGTTCATGTGCTAGGCACTGGAGTTGCAGTGGAGTAGCAGCATGGACAAAGTCAAGAAGGCAATATCAAATCAGTTTATTTCCTGTACTAAGAGAGACTTTGTGGACATAGCAAAAGGTAAACGTGTTTGGTTTTCCCCTTTCCCTGTTCATGTGCTAGGCACTGGAGTTGCAGTGGAGTAGCAGCATGGACGGGGTCTCTTCCCTCAAGGAACTCCCAGTGTAGTCACAGACAGGCAATTTAGCAAACAAAAGAGTCATGTATAAAAAGGCGCACATTGGGAGAAACACAGTTTGTTATGGGGGCACAGCAGGACATGGAACCTAACTGAGGTCAGAAAAGGCTTCCCTTTTTCGACCTGAAGGATGAAGACAAGTTATCCAGTCGGAGATGTGGGGGAAGGCGTGGCTGTGGGATTGTGAAGGCCTAGAGGAGTATTGGAGGAATTTTATTAAGTAGAGCAGAGTCAGGGGTGAGGGCAGGTTGGAGAGAAGAGACCAGGGCGGGAGAGAGAACCCAGTCTTAAAGGCATGCTGAGGGACTTGGGGTTATCCAGGAGCAATGAGGAGGTCTTTATTCAGGTGGTGACACGATTCGGATGCGGGCCTTTGAAGGCTCACACTGGCTGCAGAGTGAAAAACCGAGGTGGCCAAGCCTGGAGGAAGGAGGCTGGGAGGAGGCTGTCAAACAGCCCAGGAGGAGCCTGGTGGCTTGAAGCTGGACTGCGCAGTGTGCAGAAGGAGGAGAGCCAGCAGCAGGGGTTGGGGAGCAGTGTCCTGGTGCCTCAGGAGACAAAAAAGCCGCTGCGAGGCTCACTATCTCCAGCAGCCACTCCAGGGCCTGGCTCGTGACAGGCGATGAAAGGAACACTGATAGGATGAGTGACGGCTGGAAGCCTGGGGTAAGGGAGCAGGAGGCAGGTATCTGGCAGGTATCGGGGGTTCTCTGTGGATGGCATGGGACACCTTCTGCAGATATTGAGTAGGGAGGCCAGCGGAGGGGGAAGCAGGGGCCGTTTTATTCTCTCCCTCGGTAGGGAGGAAAGTCTAGCTGGCTGTTCACCCTGCTTTCTGGAAGAACACGCGTCTCACTGGATGGGGGTTCTGCTATACAGACCTTACCTGTGGGAATCTAGATTCTCCCATGTTTCACTTGTCTCTGCCCTTCGGGCTCTGTAGCTGGGAAAGCTTTTGACTGGTTTTCTGTAGGGTAGGCAGAGATGACACCATAATTTTGTCTCCACTTTGCCCCCATTTCTTAGGGACCAAAAATGAATTTAAGTTACACAGACACACTTTGCAGAAATGGCATATTTGCTGATACAGTGCAATTTTGTTCTTGCATATCAGCAGGAAATTTGCTTCTCTGAGAATTCATGAGGATTGATTGTAGATAACCTTCCCCTAAATTACTGAGAAAACAGTGCACTCTGGCTTACTGCCCCAAGCCTTGTGACGGGTGACTGGAGCATTAGTGTTCTCCTGCCCTTTGGTGGCAACATAAAGACACCCAGCAACAGCTGAGAAGGACCGGCTACCTTGTAAGATCTGAACACAAACCAGGGAGCCCTGAGGGCCTCGTCCTCCTGAGACTCTCTATGAGTCAAGACAGGATAATAACACATCTCTCCAGGGCACCCGCATCCTTATCCCCTCCTGTCCCATCAGGCCCATCAATCCCGGTGAGCTGTGGACCTGTCTCCCCTCTGCCTGAACAAGAACTTCATTCTCCAGTTATCTGGCCTTTTCTCCATCAATCCATCTCTGTAATATTCACGACACCCCACCCACAGGCACATTGACTCTCGTATATCCCATCTAGTACATCCCAAATGAAAACAAGAGCAAGAGCTCTCCCATCTTCCTCTAGCTACGGTTCATTTCTCTGCTTCCCTTCACAAAGCGCTAACATTTACTAAGCCCTTAGCTTTTCATAAATTAGCACATTTAATCTCCAAAGAAGCTATGAAGTTATTACCCTCAATCAAAGATAAGGAAACTAAGGGTTCAACTAAGGGCTCAGAGAGGTTAAGCAACATGCCCAGGGTCACCCAGCTGGTGACTGGTGAAGGAAACTAAGGGCTCAACTAAGGGCTCAGAGAGGTTAAGCAACATGCCCAGGGTCACCCAGCTGGTGACTGGTGAAGGAAACTAAGGGCTCAACTAAGGGCTCAGAGAGGTTAAGCAACATGCCCAGGGTCACCCAGCTGGTGACTGGTGAAGTCTAGGATTTGAACCCAGGCGGTCTGGATCCCCTTGTCAAAACCACCTCCTTCACAGCTAAAACTCTTTTAAGGGTCAAGTTACACAGGCTGTTTCCAATTCCTAACTCCTCAGGTACTATTTTTAAAAATTAAAATTTACTTTTATTAAACAAATGTATGCATATCCTTAAGTTAAATGGTTCCTTAAAGGCTTATGATGAAATAACAGTACTTTGACCCACTGCTTTGCACCCGAGTCCTGCTCCCTATCAGCGGTCATTCTGATCCTTTTAACTGTTCCTTCCTGTGTGATCCTCCACATTTTTAAATTAAATGCTTCTGCTGCTATTTCTTGATTCATCAATTTTAGATGTCATTATTGACTGTTTTGATAGTTGAGGATTTGGCTCTCCTTTAACTCTTCCTCACCCCCCTCTAGCCATCCTCTCTATATAATTGTATTACACATTTTTGGTTAAATTCTATTGCTAGTGTTCATACTATGGTTATGAGGATATGATATATTATGATTATATAATCATAATATGACATATGATTATGTAAACATTTACTGCTGAGCCAGGCAGTATTTTAATGATCATATTTCCTTTTACTTTTTGTTTTCTTTTTTATTTTTTTATGTCACAATATTAGTTTTATTTTATTTTATTTTTTATTGAAACACAATTGATTTTTTAACAAAATTAATAATTGGCTTTTTAAAAAAATGTACTTAAAGATTCTGCTCAAAGCACTCATCTCAAGGGATTCTTAGTTTTCTACATGTGTATCACTAATTTTCTCCAAATAATTTGTCATACACTTAAAAATATTTTTTCCAAATATAGCTTTGAACATTCATCATCAGTTCTAGTTGTTTCTCCTGGAGCTCTTTCTGATGTTCTCCTCCATTCTCCTCTAATCTAGGCTGTTGCTCTGTAGGTTTGCTGCCCGACCTGCCCCGGGATGTCCTTTTCCATCATTCTGGAATCGTGTCTCTCCCCTGCATTGCATCACTGCTTCCTGAGTCCACGTCTTCTTTTTTCTTGTCCTCCCTCCCTTGTTTCACTGCAGCACATTTTCCAGTAGCTTTCTAAGAAAGGGTGCAGAGGAGAACTATTTTTATTGTGTTCTTGCCAATCTGGAAATGTCATTTTTCTTCATTACATTAGTTTGATGGTTTGGTGGATACAGAGTTCTAGGTTGATAAGCATTTTCCCTACGAATGCTTCTTCCGAATATCTCCTAGCATCAGCATTTCTAAGTAGAAGATTGATGCCATTTTGATTCTGGATCCTTTTGTATTTTTTCTCCCTAGAAACTCTTAAGATCTTCTCTTTATTCCTGACAGTCTGATATTTCACAATTATATGCATTAGTGAGAGTCTTTTGTCATTTGTTATATCAGCATTCAGGGGCCCTTTCAATCTACAGATCCATGCCCTTCAGTTCCGGGAATTTTTTTCTGCATTAGTTCCTTTAATATTTTTTTTTCCCGTCTCTCTTCTCTGTTCTCTTGTGGGACTCCTGGTAGTTAAATCAATCCTCTAATGTTCTTACCTTTTCTCTCCTAGTATCTTTCTCTTTGCATTTTTTTTTTTTCTATTTGAAAATTTCTTTACTTTTTAATCCAACTCTTTTATTGAATTTTTCATTTTACCTCTTTTATTTTTAATATCCAAGCTCTCTTTCTTCCTCTCTCTGATTATTTTTCTAAAACAGTGCTTCTGTTCTTGCTTTATAGATGCAGTAATTCTCTTACAAATAAATTTTAGGACATTTATGATATAATTATTTTTAGCATTTTCATCTGTTCTTTTCAGACTTTCTTTTCTCTGAGTGTCTTAACGGTCTAATGAAAATTTTGGTTGTCTTTTTACACATACAAGGGAGCAGAGACAGATTTACTATAAAAGTAATAAAACTAAAATCTCTCTTCTGTAGGCTCTTCTTTTTCTTAAAGTGAGTACACCTAAAATATTAAGCTCTGGAGCTCACAAAACCTACAAAGGAGATCCTCAGATCTGACTGGAAACTGTGTACAGGGATGAGTCTGCTTAGCTGTGGCCTGACTTAGGAGATTAGGTATGAGCTATCTTTTGTGGGGAGATATTCCCAAATGCAAATATTTTTAAGCCGGTCTCTCCAGAGAGGTAAGCACTTGACTTTCTCAGAGCAGGATTAAAGAAAAAAGGGGGGTTGGCATCTTCCTGATTGCTGTGCAGACTTTCGCTGATCCTTCTTTTCCAAGTCCAGCATCTCACTCCACTCACCTTCTGTTGTGCCTGGTCCCTAAGTCCAGAGCTTCTTTGGTTCTGTTTTGCAGAGAATAAACTTCTGGTTAGGAAGGGAGAATCATATGCCTGTATGGAGTTAAGAGGGTGATCCCGGGAGCAATAACCATTCTGTGTCCAAGCTTTCACCCAAGCCTCTTGTCCTGCCCTGAGCCCCACTCCCTGCCTCCTGCTGACCTGTTGCCTCCGGGTTTGAGCCTGCTGCAGTTCTGCAGTGTGGCTTAGCTCACTTCCTTTTTACCCCTTCCACAGTCACCCAGCTATCAGCTTCCTCTACTCTGCTGATTCAGTTACTACGTCTCTAAAAATGTGTTCAGATTTCTAATCTACAGTCATCCTGATGAAGTTTGGGGACGGAGGAGTCCTAAATGCCTGGATACAATCTGCTGGGTTTAATGGAAAACACTGCTAACCCTTTGACTTTTCAGCCCCTTCCAATCTGGTTTCTGTCCCCGTGAAGACATTGAAACTGCTCTCGTCAAGATCCTCAATGACCTACAACAGAGATTTTTCCATCTTCATCTTACCCAACCTCTTTGCACTTCTGTGTGACCAGCTCTCCTGGTTTCCCTTTACTTCTTTGGCTCCTTTCTCATCATTTTTCTGTTTGATCTCTATGAGAGGCCCTGACTACTTTAAAAAGCAGCTGTCCAGAGCACGTCCACATTCGCATCTCTTCCCCAGACCTCTCCTTAGGTCCTCCATTTCATGTCTTTGGGTCTGAGTAGAAGTCTCATGAGGTTCCAGCTCATCCCCTTTTCCTTCCCCCAGCGACTGATCTTCCTGCGTTATCTATAGGTCCCTCCAGTTCCTCACCACACGGCAGCCATATGGTCTCTTAGACATCTCACTTGGATCCTAGTCACCGGCTGTCCATTGCACATCGAATACAATCCAAGTGCCAGCTCCTTCTCCTGGTCCTGAAGGTCCTGCCAGGTTGGCGCTTGCTCACCTCCCCGTGGCCATCCCCTCACTCCGTCCTCATCATTAGCCAGGCTCTGCCACGTGGGCCCGACTTGCTTCAGTTCCTATAAGATGCCAATGTCTTTCCCACCTGTGGACGGCATGCAGGCTGTCCCCTTTGCCTGAAATGTCCGTCCCCAGCTCTTTCTGAAGTTTTACTTTGTCATTCTGTAGACCCCAGCTTAGATGTCACTCCTCTGTGTGACCTTTCCTTACTATCTTATCTGAAGAGGCACACCACCATCCTGTCTGTTTCCTTCCAGCACTTTGCATATTGAAGTCATTTGTTACCAATTCTTGTTTTTGTTGTTTTTGTTTTGCTCCTTCTTCCACTATTCAGTAAGCCCCCCAAAGGTCTTTATTCACTGTGAGCCTAGCACAGGGCCTGCGATACAGAGGGCTCAGTGACTGTTTGCTGAATGGTGACAGAATGTAGGGGAGTGCCCTTTCTGAAGCTGGATGGGTACGGGGGCACAGGGCCTCTACACCTGCACATAAACAGTCAGCATCATGGAAAACATTTGAAATGTCAACATTCTTAAAAGACGTCTTTGAGTTTCCCAAAGTTGTCTGTTCAGCATGAGCAAACTGCCATTTCCCCATGTGCAGGTAAATGCCCAGGACCTGTCGAGACTCCCTCTTAATCTCTTAACTACACCTGCTCCTCTCCCTCCCCACAGCCCTGCCTTAGTTCAGGCTACCGATGTCTCTCCCTTGGATGACCTTTCATCCAACTCCGTTTTCCTGTTTTGTCCCCTCTAATCCACTGTCCCTACTACAGCGTTGGTGAATTTCCATATGTGCAAATTGATATGCCCTATGGCTTAAAACTCTTCAGGGACTTCTTGTCCTCAGGATAAAGGCTAAATACCCACACTCATGGAGGAGACTGAATGCTTTCTGTCCCCCAGACACGCTGCGCCCCCAGGGGCATGTTGTCTGCACAGATCGCTGTCTCCCTCTGGCACCCTCTCCCTTCCTTCTTCTAGCCTACCTCTATCCACAATTTAGATGTAGGCTTGGTTCCTCTCCCGGAAGCTTTCTCTGATCCCCAGCTTTGTATCAGTGGCCCTCCCATGTGTTTTTTATAGCCCCTGTTTCTCCCTCTTTTGCAAGACTTACCACATATCGTAGTGATCTTTTTTTGTGTTTCTCTAATGCTTTAAGCTTCTGATGCACAGGGACCATGTCTTAGCTGTGTATCTTCATAATTGAATTAAGGCAAATGAGTGAGAATTACTAAAGCATGTTTGTTTTCACATCCAAGCTTGGAAACTTTGGCTTTGATGAGTCAGAACAGCTGATAAAGACAAACTAGTTCCCAGTTGGCTACGGATTATGTTCCAATGGTCCTCATGGTCTTGAATGGTCCTTGCTGTAGATTTACTTTTGGATTAGGCCCTTCTGAAGATGCCAACCTAATCTTGAATGGGCCAGTTTCTTTCTTTGAGTTAAACTAGTATAGTGTCACAGATATCAAGTGGAAAAGAAACCAGGGAGAGGAGCTGGGTCATGGTGGTCTTGTATGTCCATACTTCAGTATGACTACGGCGTTTTCAGGGGTTGGTTGAGTCCCTTCGTATCAGGGATGTTTCTTCTTAATAATGCCTAAAGGAGCTCATTAATGTGAAATTTGATAAAGACAACAAAAGGATTAATTAAGAAGAACTAAGTTCATACTATGAAATACACAGTTTGCTAGGAGTTACCTTAAGCATATATCACATAGGCAGTTATTAGAATGTGGTTCAGATATTAATTGCTAATCCATAGCAATTATGTTTCTAGGGTTTTTTGTTTACTCATTAATTTAGTAAATATTTAATGAGACCTATTACTGATAAGTACTAAGGATCAATAAAGAATAAGACTTAATCTTTGTCTTCTAAAGAACTTAGACTTATTCAAAGTCCTGATCTTTGCTCTTTCTGGGTCTTCATCTCCAGCTAGTCCACCTCTCTGCTGGTCCATCCTGTCCATGGGGACCAGACGTTCAAGACCCCTCATGGCCCAGTCCCAGCTCTCCTCTCCCCCTCACCCTGCTCTTCTCCTCCCGCCCTGGGTACCCACACTCACCACGTTTCGTGGACGTGCCGTGCACTTGTGCTTCTGTGCTGAATCACCATCAAAGCCCTTCTCTGTGTCTGCCATCTAGTCCTAGTCTCCGTCCTCTTCCCCACACACAGCCCACTACACCCTCTCCTTAACACCTTATTCAAAGCTCAGATCAGCGTTTCATAAGCACATGGGAAGTTGGTTCACAGTATAGGTACCCGGAGCCCACTACTACAGATTCTCAATGTCTAGGATGAGGTTCAGCAGGTGTATTTTGAGAACCCCTTCCCAGGTGATTCTGATCTCTTATCTCCAGCTGACAATGACAGTTTCCAATGTAATAGACATCCCATATCTGTTTGTCCTGTAGATATCTTTCTAATCACACTAGTTTGAGGTTGTCTTAAGGTAGAACAATAACTTAATGATCTATAACCTTGGCAAATAGCACAGATCACCTATAGGAACTGACAACACATGCCATCTACGGGAGAGAGATATTCAGATGCATCAAGTATTTCAACAGCGTTTTTCTCCTACAAAGCTATTAGTAAATTACAAGAACCAAGTTATGGATGGAAGTTACCAGGAAGCATATGAGATGATTTTCCAGAATATCTTAAGGGTGCCCTGGTTTTGAGCCCTATAGTGTCTTTGTCTCTCTAACCCTTCTTCTCCATGGGCAGTTTACACAGTCGTTATGAAGGCCATTGAAAACTCATGTCCTCCCTTCCCAGGTCATCTAAAGTAAGAGGCAGCATGTAGTGGAACCTGCTCTTCTTCTGTTTGTCTACACAGAGATCATTTTTTAAAAATCGGTATTAAAATGCTCTCAGGTTCCAGTGAATGCAGTTGTGTATCCTTTGATATACAGTGTGTACCAGTAGATGCCATTATGAATTGTTTGATATACAATGTATGTTAGAATTCACTTTGAAAAGACCTATTGAAAAACTAATTTGGAAGAGAATTGTATTCACTGTCGATAGTAATTTGCACTGTTTGGACTTTGCTCACGAAACCCATATTTTTAACATCTTTGTCCTGAATAAAGATGGTGGTGTATGATGTGCCTCTGAACTAAGGCTCTGTAGCAAGAAGTAGGGGTGAACTCATTCTAAGTGAGATGCTTGTGACTCTACTCTGTAATAGGGTAGTGTATGTGGAACTGACATTTAGTTAGTGCTTCATAGATAAGTTATGATGATATATTTAATGAGTATTTTTAGCAGAGATATTTAAAAGAAATAAGAATGTTATTGTCCACTAATGACAATGATGTTACCTAACCTTGCATCGGTAAGGGATAAGTTTCCAGTAGTACTTTTCCAGCAATAGGGATGATACACACCACCCATTTAGGGCTGCCAGATTAAGCAAATGTAAATACAAGGTGCCCAGTTTAATGTGAATAATGATATACAGTAGGTAATGAATACTTATACATACTTACACTAAAAAGTATTCATATTCATTGTTTATCTGAAATTCAAATTTAACTGGGCATCCTGTATTTTACATGGCAACCCTAGCCCTATCCAAAATCTCTCACTCTGCCCCCTACCCCTGCCCCAGGGACTAGGCAGGCCTAGTGATCCGTGCCTCTGTGCCTACTCAGCAGAACAGAGGAACACTCCCAACTGGCATGCAAATGCTCTCATTAGAAACTACTTCTAATCATTTGGGCTTATACTTCCTGTGCTCGATAAAGCAGAAAATTATTTCGTAGCTGAAGTATCCATAAAAAGTACACTGACCATACCTCTAAATAGAAGAAGAGTTTTTAATGTGATAAATTGGAAGCCACTGCCAGAAGCAAAATGGAATGAAAAGCTACTTAGAAATCACGTACAAGGAATAACTATTGCCTCTCGTTGCCACCCCCACCCCAGCTCAGAAGATTAAGAAAAGTTCTCAGGTGTCTCTGGAGTGGAAAAAGTTACTTCACCGGCCTTTAGACACTGAATTTCGACAGAATTACCAAATTCCAGCTAAAATTCCCGAGTGTCAGGATTTTAGTTTCAAATATGGATGCTACTCAAGCCTGCCACTTGCTGCTCAGGGTCTCGGTGAGTACAGCTGGAGTTGTTAAAACAACTCCACAGATCCCGTCCCCTTGCTCCACGATCCCTCAGTGCAGAGGGCCCTGGTGGCCAATTTGAACACAGCCGTGGAGAAAGCCACCAATGCTGGCATGGGGTTGGAACCTTGCCACTGTGGCTCCCAGCCTCACCCCCAGGAACTAGACCACTTCTGAAAAGGACTGACTGCTCATGCCGTGAAATGAGCAGTCTCTGCCTGGGACGGCAGTGGCTGTGATGGGGGACACTTCCTCCTATAAAATGAATGGAAGGATGCGGTTACTGTAAAATAATAGAAAAAGAGATTAGGAAGGAATCAAATTAGTCTCGTCAATTATCTACAGGAGACATATCTGCATGGCACACCCTCAAGATTTAGCGCCCATTCTGTTTAAGTAAGTGTTCTTTTATGCCCCAATTCCTATTGTTTTCATTTTAATGAAAGTTGTTAAAAGTCCCATGGCCAAGCCACCTGCAAGCTGCCGGTTGGGAAGATAACTTGATGTCAGTCTGAGGTGTGATTTATTTTTGGCATGGAGTTGGGATCAAGTAATACTTGAGATGAAAGACAAAATAGAAGCTTAGCATCTTGGGGTCAGAAGGAAGCCTGGAAGATACTTACTCTAGAGCCTCAAGCTATGTGTGAACCTCCTCCACCCCATNACATAGGCAGTTATTAGAATGTGGTTCAGATATTAATTGCTAATCCATAGCAATTATGTTTGTAGGGTTTTTTGCTTACTCATTAATTTAGTAAATATTTAATGAGACCTATTACTGATAAGTACTAAGGATCAATAAAGAATAAGACTTAATCTTTGTCTTCTGAAGAACTTAGACTTATTCAAAGTCCTGATCTTTGCTCTTTCTGGGTCTTCATCTCCAGCTAGTCCACCTCTCTGCTGGTCCATCCTGTCCATGGGGACCAGACGTTCAAGACCCCTCACGGCCCAGTCCCAGCTCTCCTCTCCCCCTCACCCTGCTCTTCTCCTCCCGCCCTGGGTACCCACACTCACCACGTTTCGTGGACGTGCCGTGCACTTGTGCTTCTGTGCTGAATCACCATCAAAGCCCTTCTCTGTGTCTGCCATCTAGTCCTAGTCTCCGTCCTCTTCCCCACACACAGCCCACTACACCCTCTCCTTAACACCTTATTCAAAGCTCAGATCAGCGTTTCATAAGCACATGGGAAGTTGGTTCACAGTATAGGTACCCGGAGCCCACTACTACAGATTCTCAATGTCTAGGATGAGGTTCAGCAGGTGTATTTTGAGAACCCCTTCCCAGGTGATTCTGATCTCTTATCTCCAGCTGACAATGACAGTTTCCAATGTAATAGACATCCCATATCTGTTTGTCCTGTAGATATCTTTCTAATCACACTAGTTTGAGGTTGTCTTAAGGTAGAACAATAACTTAATGATCTATAACCTTGGCAAATAGCACAGATCACCTATAGGAACTGACAACACATGCCATCTACGGGAGAGAGATATTCAGATGCATCAAGTATTTCAACAGCGTTTTTCTCCTACAAAGCTATTAGTAAATTACAAGAACCAAGTTATGGATGGAAGTTACCAGGAAGCATATGAGATGATTTTCCAGAATATCTTAAGGGTGCCCTGGTTTTGAGCCCTATAGTGTCTTTGTCTCTCTAACCCTTCTTCTCCATGGGCAGTTTACACAGTCGTTATGCAGGCCATTGAAAACTCATGTCCTCCCTTCCCAGGTCATCTAAAGTAAGAGGCAGCATGTAGTGGAACCTGCTCTTCTTCTGTTTGTCTACACAGAGATCATTTTTTAAAAATCGGTATTAAAATGCTCTCAGGTTCCAGTGAATGCAGTTGTGTATCCTTTGATATACAGTGTGTACCAGTAGATGCCATTATGAATTGTTTGATATACAATGTATGTTAGAATTCACTTTGAAAAGACCTATTGAAAAACTAATTTGGAAGAGAATTGTATTCACTGTCGATAGTAATTTGCACTGTTTGGACTTTGCTCACGAAACCCATATTTTTAACATCTTTGTCCTGAATAAAGATGGTGGTGTATGATGTGCCTCTGAACTAAGGCTCTGTAGCAAGAAGTAGGGGTGAACTCATTCTAAGTGAGATGCTTGTGACTCTACTCTGTAATAGGGTAGTGTATGTGGAACTGACATTTAGTTAGTGCTTCATAGATAAGTTATGATGATATATTTAATGAGTATTTTTAGCAGAGATATTTAAAAGAAATAAGAATGTTATTGTCCACTAATGACAATGATGTTACCTAACCTTGCATCGGTAAGGGATAAGTTTCCAGTAGTACTTTTCCAGCAATAGGGATGATACACACCACCCATTTAGGGCTGCCAGATTAAGCAAATGTAAATACAAGGTGCCCAGTTTAATGTGAATAATGATATACAGTAGGTAATGAATACTTATACATACTTACACTAAAAAGTATTCATATTCATTGTTTATCTGAAATTCAAATTTAACTGGGCATCCTGTATTTTACATGGCAACCCTAGCCCTATCCAAAATCTCTCACTCTGCCCCCTACCCCTGCCCCAGGGACTAGGCAGGCCTAGTGATCCGTGCCTCTGTGCCTACTCAGCAGAACAGAGGAACACTCCCAACTGGCATGCAAATGCTCTCATTAGAAACTACTTCTAATCATTTGGGCTTATACTTCCTGTGCTCGATAAAGCAGAAAATTATTTTGTAGCTGAAGTATCCATAAAAAGTACACTGACCATACCTCTAAACAGAAACTACTTCTAATCATTTGGGCTTATACTTCCTGTGCTCGATAAAGCAGAAAATTATTTCGTAGCTGAAGTATCCATAAAAAGTACACTGACCATACCTCTAAATAGAAGAAGAGTTTTTAATGTGATAAATTGGAAGCCACTGCCAGAAGCAAAATGGAATGAAAAGCTACTTAGAAATCACGTACAAGGAATAACTATTGCCTCTCGTTGCCACCCCCACCCCAGCTCAGAAGATTAAGAAAAGTTCTCAGGTGTCTCTGGAGTGGAAAAAGTTACTTCACCGGCCTTTAGACACTGAATTTCGACAGAATTACCAAATTCCAGCTAAAATTCCCGAGTGTCAGGATTTTAGTTTCAAATATGGATGCTACTCAAGCCTGCCACTTGCTGCTCAGGGTCTCGGTGAGTAAAGCTGTAGTTGTTAAAACAACTCCACAGATCCTGTCCCCTTGCTCCACGATCCCTCAGTGCGGAGGGCCCTGGTGGCCAATTTGAACACAGCCGTGGAGAAAGCCACCAATGCTGGCATGGGGTTGGAACCTTGCCACTGTGGTTCCCAGCCTCACCCCCAGGAACTAGACCACTTCTGAAAAGGACTGACTGCTCATGCTGTGAAATGAGCAGTCTCTGCCTGGGACGGCAGTGGCTGTGATGGGGGACACTTCCTCCTATAAAATGAATGGAAGGATGCGGTTTCTGTAAAATAATAGAAAAAGAGATTAGGAAGGAATCAAATTAGTCTTGTCAATTATCTACTGGAGACATATCTGCATGGCACACCCTCAAGCATTTCCAGATTTAGTGCCCATTCTGTTTAAGTAAGTGTTCTTTTATGACCTCAGTTCCTATTGTTTTTCTCTGGAGTGGAAAAAGTTACTTCACCGGCCTTTAGACACTGAATTTCGACAGAATTACCAAATTCCAGCTAAAATTCCCGAGTGTCAGGATTTTAGTTTCAAATATGGATGCTACTCAAGCCTGCCACTTGCTGCTCAGGGTCTCGGTGAGTACAGCTGGAGTTGTTAAAACAACTCCACAGATCCCGTCCCCTTGCTCCACGATCCCTCAGTGCAGAGGGCCCTGGTGGCCAATTTGAACACAGCCGTGGAGAAAGCCACCAATGCTGGCATGGGGTTGGAACCTTGCCACTGTGGCTCCCAGCCTCACCCCCAGGAACTAGACCACTTCTGAAAAGGACTGACTGCTCATGCCGTGAAATGAGCAGTCTCTGCCTGGGACGGCAGTGGCTGTGATGGGGGACACTTCCTCCTATAAAATGAATGGAAGGATGCGGTTACTGTAAAATAATAGAAAAAGAGATTAGGAAGGAATCAAATTAGTCTCGTCAATTATCTACAGGAGACATATCTGCATGGCACACCCTCAAGATTTAGCGCCCATTCTGTTTAAGTAAGTGTTCTTTTATGCCCCAATTCCTATTGTTTTCATTTTAATGAAAGTTGTTAAAAGTCCCATGGCCAAGCCACCTGCAAGCTGCCGGTTGGGAAGATAACTTGATGTCAGTCTGAGGTGTGATTTATTTTTGGCATGGAGTTGGGATCAAGTAATACTTGAGACCACCGGGCCGGCCCCCTATTGTTTTCATTTTAATTAAAGTTGTTAAAAGTCCCATGGCCAAGCCACCTGCAAGCTGCCGGTTGGGAAGATAACTTGGTGTCAGTCTGAGGTGTGATTTATTTTTGGCATGGAGTTGGGATCAAGTAATACTTGAGTTGAAAGACAAAATAGAAGCTTAGCATCTTGGGGTCAGAAGGAAGCCTGGAAGATACTTACTCTAGAGCCTCAAGCTATGTGTGAACCTCCTCCACCCCATCCTTGCCAAGAAGGATGCCTCCCCTGCTGACACACTTCAGGGCAGTGCCCCATCCCCCTAGGCTGCTCCTTCATTGTCACATGCCCCAACTGTTTCAAAGTTCCATCAGCTGGGATACTCCTTGCTAAACCTCTAGCCATTGGTTCTACTTTTTCCCATGGAAGTAACTAGTATAAACCTATTATTCTATGAAACTTTATCATATGCATTCTAAGTATAATCCTTTTGAGTTGAGGCATTTCCAGACCCTACAGACACTCTTCCCAGGCTGTAGCACCAAATACTCTCAAATACCTTCACCAGTCTGGTCCTTCCATGTGGCCAATGGCCCCTTTAAGGGGGACACCTGAAACTGAAAACAGTATTTAAGGTGTTGTCAAGGTTTACAAAGATTGGGCAAGTTGTAGAAATTGTTTTCACATCATGTCTTCATTATTTTTTTTAATGAGAGTTCATGAATATCAGAAGCCACATTAATGAATATTCAAATCAAATATAAGTGATTTGGGGGTTGCCTGCACCTCAACCTCCTTTAGTCTGAATGGACAATGACTGCTGACTGTAAATATCATCATTCTTCCAAACTGCTCATCCTAAGACACCTAGATCCCCGAAGGGAGGTCTCTTGGCGCACCAATCCAGTGACTGCGTGGAAGATGTCCTGAAAGAAAAAAGAGCTTCAGTGAAGACCTTTACATATTAAGCAGGTGGTAAACATGACCACCCTAACACACTGATATGCTAGGAGTAGGATTCCGGGAGAACTTCTTTTCTGAATATGATGGTCAAACTCACCCTTCTGGCCATTGTCTTCCATCACTCCCGCTTCCTGCTGCACAAGTCTATGGAATCCTAGCAACTGTGCACAGCCCCTAGTCACTGAAGGAATCAGCACACCACAGCGCCTTAGTTTTCAATGTTATAAGGACACCAATTAAGCTCCAGGCTGGGATCAGGGCTGTCAGGGGTGTGTTCAAACAACAAGGGTGAGAATTCTTTGCTTAGGTGACAGAGCTCTGTGTTTCTTTAGTGCCTTCTGTGCTGCACAGCTACATGAGAAATCAAGAACGGACGAAGAAGCAGACCACGTACCAAAGTGACTATGGGAAAGCCTACCTGGATTTCTTAATGATTTTAAACTCATTTACTCCCACCCAAATCAAGGAGTACCTTGATAGTGTTTCCTACAAAGGTAAGATGAGATCTTGAGTTACTGTTTCATCCATTTACAGGTCACAGTCCATTGCTTTATGCCACATTGTTCCAATTTCTAGCCACTGGAGTTGAATGTCCACAGAAAGAAAAATATTGCCAAAAATAAAAATAAAAAAACCTCAATCCATCGAGAAGACATTTTTCTTAAAAGAAACCCCAGTTACTATATTCCCACTTATTAAGAAGAAGACATACAGCTTTTCCTTCATTTCTGATCTCATTTTGCCTGTGGATGTTTTGTTTGTTTGTTTTTTCTTCCTGCTCCAGAATGACTTCTCTTTTTCTTATAGCTAATTGTTTTCTCCAGTGGGTATTTGTACTATCTCGCTGTTTTATTTTGTTTGATCTTTCTTTCCTGTTTGGTGGTACTTTTTTGTGACAGTCTTTTTAAGGGACATGAGAATCTCCATATAGCACACTCTCAAAGAGAGCAAATGCCATTCTCAGGATGGTGTGACTTCACTCCACATGACAAAGACTTAGCCCACTTTGGGGTCGTGTGATTGGAATCAGTTTGGAAGCATCTTAGGGGCAACTGGTCAGTGTAACCGAGAGCATGTAAAACATCAACTCAGAGAATAAAATAGTTTCGGGGAGGAATGGGGTATTTTCTACCCTTGCATACTGAGGGCTGAGGGCCTAAAGGCCCTTAAAAGAGCTTGACTGTTGGGTTTCTGGGGAGTATGAGAAGCAGATGTCTTGCTTCATGCTGAGGCAGAAGCAGAAGTATGTCTTTTCAGTTGGGAGTCTCACCCCTCTCAACAGATGTCTCTGGACCAGTTTGATACTTCACAAGTGGCTCCGGGAGCTCCAGTCTTCCCGGAAGGCAGAGCAGAGCTCTCCAGCGAGCTCAGGCCTACCTTCCTGGGCTTTTCCCCAGCCATGGTGCATACGTATAAAATCATCCTCTGCATTTTATAAGGAGCTCTTTTTACCTTTTGGAACCACATCTGTTGGACCTGATAGAAGGAGTATTTCTGTCTTCCCTAAGCAGATGCTCCCATTTGCCCAGGGATTTGCAATACAGATGCAGCTGTCACTTCTCTGCCTGCATGGAAACCATGTTGGCTGCTGGGCACCTTGTGTCTTGTTGTGTGTGTGTCTATTTGCAATCTGAGCCTTAGGGTACCCTCTAAGGGTGAACCAGGGACTCCTCTAAGTGCTCCAGAGCCTCTGCTCAACTTGGAGCTACATCTCCAAGATACCTAGGGTAAGGTGATCTTTCAGGTAAACACTATCTGTCCACCCAGGTGGGCTTTCCTCCCCAGGCAGGTGAGATGTGACCTATTAGCTGACAAGGTAGCTTTAGGACAGGCTAGGTTTTTGTTTCTTCTTAGCTCTCCTGCTTTCCTGGTTCCTGTAGGATGGCACTGGGGGCAGATACCTGAAGGCTCATTCCCCAGAGCTTTGCAATTTTGTGCTTACTTGGGCTGATGTGGGATCTGCTTCCTGTGGGTTTTAGTTCTCTTTTCCTGGATCTGTTTGAGGCTGGCCCACTTACCAACGCCAGCTGTGTCAGAGGCTGACAAGCAAACAGCAGGTTCCCTTTGAATTCCTACGCCCCAAACCTCTTGTCATTTTCTAGTGTCAGGGATGACACAAATGCTTTTCAGCTGGCGAATATCTCAGCAGAGCTCTTTTGTGTGGTAGGGCTGAACGAGTAGGCAGAGAATAAAAAAATATATTAAAAAAAAAAACCTGGCAGATGTCTTAGCCGAGTTGCTGTCAACTCAGCTCAGATGTTTTCCTGGACTATCCCTCGTAGGTAGCAGGCTCTGATGGCATAGGAGCTCAGAACAGGTCCTTTTTGAAAGAGCGAGAGGGAGGGGACTGAGCAGCCTTCCCCTTAAGTTGGGGTGGAAGGCAGAGGAGGCTGGAGAGATGGCAGGGAGAGGTGGAAGAGAGAAAACTCCAGAAAGATGAAATATAAAGCTGGGGAAGAAGAGAGAAGAGAGCAGCTAGCTGAAGATAAATCTTTCATTCCATGAACTGTGTGTTACCACTATTTGGTAATGAGTTTCTTTATAACTCAAGCAGATTGAATGAGATGTCTTTTGTGGCTACTCTATTTTCGAAATTGCTTTAATTGCTGAGCCTGATTCAGGCCACCCAGCAGCTTAGTCTTCGGGCACCTGTTACCTATTGGTAAAGACTGTGTCACGTATCCACTTTCCCCCACTTGAAAGATACCATCTGAAATGTGGTTTTCTGTAAATTTTTCAGCTGTGCCTCCCTCCCCATCTCTTCCTCCCATGGAAACTCCCATGAATATGGCTATCCAAAACATCCTTCTTTCTGCCTGTGATGGTTTCAATACGAAGAATTGCATTTATTCATCATCTGAAATGTGGTTTTCTGTAAATTTTTCAGCTGTGCCTCCCTCCCCATCTCTTCCTCCCGTGGAAACTCCCATGAATATGGCTATCCAAAACGTCCTTCTTTCTGCCTGTGATGGTTTCAATACGAAGAATTGCATTTATTCATTCACTCAATAAACTTCATTGAATATCTATATGCTCACTTGGTACAAAGATAAATTTTAAAAAATCCCTCTTCTCAGGGAACTCTTTGTCTGGTGTGGGAGACAGACACATAGTTATAATGTCAATAAGCCCTGTAATCGAAGTCATCTTTGGGTGTATTACAAGCCTTTGAGGGGTAGTCCCAACCTTGTAGGTCGACAGGGAATGAGGGAAGGCTGCTTGGAGGAGGTGTCCTTTAAGTCTCAAAGATGAATCTGCTTGACAAGGTGAGGCAGGGCCATTTCTAGCAGAAGGAATAGCATGAACGAACTTATGGGACATGAATCTGCATCTAAACATTATAAATATGGGTAGCACTTGAATTACAACTGGTAGCCTTTTTGAACAGTTAAGTTGACTTTAAATTTTACACAGTCTAATCTTTTTTTACTAATTCATGCCAATCTTGACTCATCTTGCATGTGTATCTGTGATATGAGGAGAAAGAATTTTTTTGTGCTTATTTTAAAGTAAACTTTCTGGTATAAAGTTTAAAACTAGAGACTGCAAATGAATTTGCACTGCAAATGACAAGGACTGATAATAGAAATGTTGACAGCAGGGAGTAATCACAAGTCCGTACATTGCTGGTGGGAACACCAAATCGTGCAATCACTCTGCAGACAGGTCTGGCAACTTCTCATAAAGTTACATGTGTACCTACTTTGTGACCCAGAAATTCCACTTCTGGGTATTTACCCAAGAGAAAAGAGAACATATGTCCACAAAAGGACATGTACAAGAATGTTTATAACCACTTCATTCTTAATAGCCTCAAAATGGATACAACCCAAATCTCTATCAACAGGAAAATGGATAAGTAAACTGGTATATTCACATAATGAGATACCACTTGATAATAAAAAGGAATGAATTATTAATGTGTACAACAAAATGTATCAACCTCAAAAATATTATGCTGAATGAAAGAAACCAGACAAAAGAATACCTTCTATATGATTTTATTTATTTGAAGGTCTACAACAGGCAAAACTTACCCATGATGAAAGAAATCTTGGGGTAGGAGGCATTGACTGGGAAGGAGCGTGAAGGGTCTTTATGAGATGGTGGAATTGATCTACATCATTACATGGGTGTGGGTTACACATATGCAAGTGTCAGTCTGTCAAACTGTATACATAAGATCAGTGCATTTCACTTTATGAAAAGTGTACCTCAATTAAAAAATACTAGGGTCAAAAAGGTTCAGAGTAGGGTAGGGACACTTCAAAATTAAACACAAGATCACAAAAACAAATACAGTCACGTTGCTTAACGATGAGGATGTGAGAAATGTATTGTTAGATGATTTTGTCATTCTGCAAGCATCATAGAGTCCACTTACACAAACCTAGATAGTATAGCCTACTACACACCTAGTCTATACGATATAGCCATTATAATCTTATGGAGCCACCATCATATATGTGGTCAGTCGTTGACTGAAACATCCTATGTGATGCATGACTGTAAATGTAAACATAAGTGGAGAGAAAAAAGGAACACGCATGCACATCCCTGATCTATGGACCTCAGCTGGCATTTATGACATTGAACAAGAAAACATGAACATCGAACATGACAACATGACATCACTTGCACTCTGACTCCTTTTTGGTTTTGGCTGCACAGATGACAATTGCTGGGAGTGAGCAAAATTTTACAGCTCAATTCTGTATAATTGAAAAAAGTATGTAATTAAGATTAGGGAATCATAGATGTTCAGGACCAGATAAGACTCCTTTATTTCACAGATGAGGAAATGGAGGCCCGGGAGTTAAAGGGCTTTCCCAGGGCCAAACAGATATTGCTCAAGGATAGCAAAGCCTACCAATGCTGGAGGGTATAAAAACAGCCTTGGCTTTTAAGAAACTTTTGTAGCAATAGTCTCTATTGTTTATCAACACTGTTTATTACTGTGCATCCAGTAATAAAAGGATAAGGCTACTATTTATTGAGTGTCTTTGATGGGCCAGACACTGTCTAGGTGCTTCATACACAACATTTTTAATCCATTCCAACAACTGTGCCAGGTAAGTACTGTCACCTGTATTCAAAAATGAGGGAATGAAGAAGTGGAGAGGTTAAACGGCTTGTTAACACGAGAGTACTTCAGAAAGTTCATAGACAAATGGAATTAAAAGATAACATGCCAGGTAAGTACTGTCACCTGTATTCAAAAATGAGGGAATGAAGAAGTGGAGAGGTTAAATGGCTTGTTAACACGAGAGTACTTCAGAAAGTTCATAGACAAATGGAATTAAAAGATAACCCCAATCTTTCCATGAACTTTTTGAAGTACCCTGGTACTTGCCAGCACATAACTGAAACTCATCTGTTTCATTCTAAAACCACGTTCTTTCCAGTAAGACTGCTGATCCCTTGAATATTAAGTGTACTCTTTTTTAATAATTATGCAACTGTGCCTCTGTAGGTATTACACACAATATCCTCTGATTATTTTGGTCTCTTATCAAATTTGTACATATAGTACTATTACCAGATATTTTTTTCCTAGAGTATTTCTATTTAGCATTTAAAGACATGGAAATTTTCATCCTGTTTTTCTTCATAATTTTCAGACAGACAAATTCTTGATCGCTTTATTCATTCTCACTGTGACACTGACAAGGGAAGAAATGAAAAAGGAAAATAGTTCAAGTGAAGAAAATCTGAAAATCAATGGAAATAGTAGGGCCTGCCTTGTCATTTTCTCAATAATCAAGGAAAAGTAAGATGCAAATTGCTCCAAACATGTTGTGATAGTCATGAATTTGTGTATTATTTTTATATTTTTAAAACATAAAAGTCATTTAAGGCTATAAATTTTCCACTGAATGCAGCTTTAGCTGTATCCAATAGATTTTTATAGAATGTTCCCTCCCCCTTTCAGATACTTAATTTGTGGTTTCAATTTTGATTTTCTCTTTGAACCAGGAATTATGTGGAAGAGATTTCTTAATTTCCCAATAATTAGAAGATTTTAAAATCTTTTCACTGTTGATTTCTTTTTTGCAGGAATTAAAGCAAAAAAATCTGTGCTTTGGGAAACTTATCAGTTTTCTTTTATACCATTAATTAAGTATATGATTAATTTGTGTGTTTGGATGAATATAAGAGAAAAAGATTTATAGTTTATTATATGTTTTAAATCTCTTTTATGTTTGCCTGATTGTTTACTTGAACTGTCAAATTCTGAAAAAGGAATATTAAAAACATCTCATAATAAATGTTTTTGTCAATTTCTTCTTGTACTTCTGGGATTTTTGCTTTAAATATACTTCTGGCTGCTATATTATTTATTTTGCTAAGGTATGACTTACACAGAGCTTCTTCAGATATCAATGTTTTCTCCATTATATGTTATGCCTCTTTGAGCTGGTTAATTCTTTTGGCTTTGAATTGCATTTTAATTGATATTAATGTGAACATTCATGCTGAGTTTTTTTGTTTGTTTTGTTTTGTTCCTTTGCATTTGCTTAGTATATCCTTAATTTCCAGTCTTTCTTGGTATCTTTGTTTCAGTGTGTTTCTAGAAATACCTTATACCTAGGTTTTATATTATAACTAATATGACAGTCTTCGTCTTTTGACAGAATTTAGTCAGGACACAGTAATTGTGATGTTTTACATACTTGGCTTTAAGTTTTCTATTTTATTGTTTGTTTGCTACTTCCTATTTGTTTTGTTTTATTTTACTTTGCCTAATTTTCTTCATTTTTCCCTCTACTGTTAGATTTTAAAATATACTATTTTTCATTGTACTAGTAGTTTTTATAACACGTGGTTATTACTAAATTTGGATTTCTCTACCAATATATAAAAATGGCATGATTTCTGCTCACTGTACTATCTACTTTCCCATTCCTCCCCTCCCCACTTACTGAAAAGACACCTTTTATTTCCTTGTTCCATGTTGTACTTGCCACTCCATCCCTCGTTTGTGCTCTTAGACATTTACACACACACACACACACACACACACACTCTCACTCACACACTCTCTCCTTTGCTAGCTGTTGGCTCTGGTCTTCTTCAATTTGTGGGAGCCTATAAACAGGTTACATGGGTTGGCCATCCCTCAGGTTGGGTCAGTCCATTGGGCCAAGGAAAACGAGCTTCAGGGGAAGGCTGGCCCGTTTCTGTTTAGTGGATAAACAGTGAGGGAGCTGGACTAACTGAAGGAGTACACTCACCTGCTGATGGGCAGGACAGCATCTCATCCTGCCTCTGTTCCTCCAGGTAGGGGAGGGATGGCTCTTTCTCAGCTGAACAGATTGGCAAAAGTTTGTTCCACTATTCCACCCCACCCTACCCCCAGGGCCACCAGGCTTAAGCACATCCCCAAGAACCACAAGCAACAGTGGATAGTGTGGCCCTACTGGAAGGAATTATCTCATGTCTGCCCATCTGGGGCCCATCAGGGAACCTTCAAGTCTGAGGTCTTTGCCACAGGCTCCAGCCAAGACAGCTTTCTTCTGCAGTCCTGAGCTGACTGCTCCAGCCCAGCACCAGGGCTCCAGACTTCCAGAGAACATGCATCTACAGACACACCCCAGTCCCCATCACTAATGCTCAGGTTGTCATGAGGCTGGGGGAGAGAGTTGAGCATGGGTAGTCAAAACAGGCTTTCAGTCCTCCATCTACTCACCACGAAAAGGCTCTTCCGTGGCCATTCTGTCAAATACCCCTCGTCCGTTCTCTGCTTCACCCATTTCCCAGGAAGTCCTGTGGAGGCACCTCTCCTTTCCCCCCTGTCCTGAGTAAGAACCACCAGCAGGACACATGGAGAGGTGGTGCACCTTACAAGTTTCCCAGCAGCAGTGAGGGTTTGTTTTTTTATGGATACTGGTTTGGACCTGTCCTCCTTTCTGCTTCCACTTTGTACCAAAACAGTAATATCCCAACCATCCCTCCTCCAGACAGGGATGGTTTTCTATTTATCGGCTCAGATTTCTTGCACGCCCCCACCTTCGCGGTTTGGGGCCAGTACTAGAGCATCAAGCTGCATCTGTGCCTTTCTCAGAGGGCTGGGAACTGCAGCAGTAGCCAAGCAGGAGCTCTGCCTGGATGCTGTTTGGTGTGTGCAGTGTACAACTTCCTGGTTATCCTCACAGCACCTGCTCCAAAGCAGAGCTCCATACTCCAGTGGGCCCTGAACCAAATATCAACAGATGAGTGTCCCTTCATCCAGTAAATATTCGTAGAGCACCTACTATGTGTCAGGCAGTGTTTTCGGAGATGGGAATAATATACTAGTGAAATATAGACGTGGAGCTTCGTTGGGCTGGATCACAGACCCCTCTGCCACGTCTTATGCAGGTCATGAGTCAGGTATTTGAAAAAAGATTCTGGTGGCCGATAACAGGATAGACATGCCTTATTCTGATATGAGCTCTGCAGCCAGTGGTTAGAAGCCTTTGTCTTATATACCAAAAGTACACAATAGTGGCAACAAGCCAAGGAGTACATGGGAGCTCGTGCGCACTAACACCACTCTTAAATAACTCATTTACAATGGATGTGCTGACTCATACACAGCCAGATATGAGGCAAGGGGGCCTGACTAAACTAACTCCAATTTCCTTACAAGCTTACACTCTAGAGGGGGCACCAAGATACTCCTACTGAGGAGGCATGATTTAGCTGAGACCTGAGGAGGAGGAGGAGGAGGAGGAGGAGCCAGCCATGTGAAGGGATGGGGAACAGCAAGACAAGGGCCTCAAGGTAGGAAAGATCTTGAAGCATTCTAGGAACTGACAGAAGGCAGAGAGGCTGAAGCATAATGAACTGGTTGGGGCCAGGGGCCAGGGGACCATCATACAAAGGGATATCAAGGAGGCAGGGGTCCGATCTTGGCCTGAATACTATTGTATTCCTGATAGCACAGACTCGTGTTCTAGTTACTGCATTCCAGAATATTCAGTACATTTCTATTGATTCAAGCTGTGGATCACCTGTGAACATAATCTGATTTTATGGTAATCCTCTTCTTCAAACTTTGGTAGCAGTTTTGTGCAGGACTAGAGTTTTCAGTGACTGCAGACATGTCTGTAGCTGAATCTTAAGCTTTCCACCTACCTCCACACCCTGGGAGTCCCTAATGGGATTCCTGACCTCCTAAAAGATTTTTTAAAAATTCTCATACGTGAAGGTTGCCTCTTTGTGCTATGAAGTTCTATGGGTTTGACAAAGCATAGTGTTATGTATTCACCATTACAGTATCATATAGAATCATTCTATAAATGAAATGATATTAACCACCCTAAAAATCCTCTGTGCTCCACCTGCTCAGTCCTCTACTCCTCCCTTCAAGCTGCTGATTACNATCCCTCAGGTTGGGTCAGTCCATTGGGCCAAGGAAAACGAGCTTCAGGGGAAGGCTGGCCTGTTTCTGTTTAGTGGATAAACAGTGAGGGAGCTGGACTAACCGAAGGAGTACACTCACCTGCTGATGGGCAGGACAGCATCTCATCCTGCCTCTGTTCCTCCAGGTAGGGGAGAGATGGCTCTTTCTCAGCTGAACAGATTGGCAAAAGTTCGTTCCACTATTGCACCCCACCCTACCCCCAGGGCCACCAGGCTTAAGCACATCCCCAAGAACCACAAGCAACAGTGGATAGTGTGGCCCTACTGGAAGGAATTATCTCATGTCTGCCCATCTGGGGCCCATCAGGGAACCTTCAAGTCAGAGGTCTTTGCCACAAGCTCCAGCCAAGACAGCTTTCTCCTGAAGTCCTGAGCTGACTGCTCCAGCCCAGCACCAGGGCTCCAGACTTCCAGAGAACATGAAGCTACAGACACACCCCAGTCCCCATCACTAATGCTCAGGTTGTCATGAGGCTGGGGGAGAGAGTTGAGCATGGGTAGTCAAAACAGGCTTTCAGTCCTCCATCTACTCACCACGAAAAGGCTCTTCCGTGGCCATTCTGTCAAATACCCCTCGTCCATTCTCTGCTTCACCCATTTCCCAGGAAGTCCTGTGGAGGCACCTCTCCTTTCCCCCCTGTCCTGAGTAAGAACCACCAGCAGGACACATGGAGAGGTGGTGCACCTTACAAGTTTCCCAGCAGCAGTGAGGGTTTGTTTTTTTATGGATACTGGTTTGGACCTGTCCTCCTTTCTGCTTCCACTTTGTACTAAAGCAGTAATATCCCAACCATCTCTCCTCCAGACAGGGATGGTTTTCTATTTATCGGCTCAGATTTCTTGCACGCCCCCACCTTCGCGGTTTGGGGCCAGTACTAGAGCATCAAGCTGCATCTGTGCCTTTCTCAGAGGGCTGGGAACTGCAGCAGTAGCCAAGCAGGAGCTCCGCCTGGATGCTGTTTGGTGTGTGCAGTGTGCAACTTCCTGGTTATCCTCACAGCACCTGCTCCAAAGCAGAGCTCCATACTCCAGTGGGCCCTGAACCAAATATCAACAGATGAGTGTCCCTTCATCCAGTAAATATTCGTAGAGCACCTACTATGTGTCAGGCAGTGTTTTCGGAGATGGGAATAATATAAGGAGATGGGAACAATATACTAGTGAAATATAGACATGGAGCTTTGTTGGGCTGGATCACAGACCTCTCTGCCACGTCTTGTGCAGGTCATGAGTCAGGTATTTGAAAAAAGATTCTGGTGGCCGATAACAGGATAGACATGCCTTATTCTGATATGAGCTCTGCAGCCAGTGGTTAGAAGCCCTTGTCTTATATACCAAAAGTACACAATAGTGGCAACAAGCCAAGGAGTACATGGGAGCTCGTGTGCACTAACACTACTCTTATGTAACTCATTTACAATGGATGTGCTGACTCATACACAGCCAGATATGAGGCAAGGGGGCCTGACTAAACTAACTCCAATTTCCTTATAAGCTTACACTCTAGAGGGGGCACCAAGATACTCCTACTGAGGAGGCATGATTTAGCTGAGACTTGAGGAGGAGGAGGAGGAGCCAGCCATCTGAAGGGATGGGGAACAGCAAGACAAGGGCCTCAAGGTAGGAAAGATCTTGCAGTCTTCTAGGAACTGACAGAAGGCACAGAGGCTGAAGCATAACGAACTGGTTGGGGCCAGGGGCCAGGGGACCATCATACAAAGGGATGTCAAGGAGGCAGGGGTCCGATCTTGGCCTGGATACTATTGTATTCCTGATAGCACAGACTCGTGTTCTAGTTACTGCATTCCAGAATATTCAGTACATTTCTATTGACTCAAGCTGTGGATCACCTGTGAACATAATCTATTTTATGGCA